TCTTTGTAGCTCTTAATAAAAATTGTCTTCTTTCTATCTCTCCTAAACCCTGTTTTGCCATCATTTACACAAGCTATGCTTTGTTTTCTTAGTATTCTCACCATCCTTCTGTAGAACCACATTTCTGATGCTTCAAGTCTCTTTTACAATTTTGAGGAGATTGTCCATCATATAGGAAGACTGATATTACATAACAATTCAGTATTCATTTTTCTTTTTTTTTTTTTATTCTAATGAAATTTTCCTGTTTCTTAATACTTTGCTTAGCTTTTGGAAGGCATCTTTTACTAATCCAATGCACCTTCTCATTTCAGTGTCAGACAATACATTAAATCATACAGATGTTTCTGGTAATTTCTGTATCAATACTCACCAGACACAACAGATATCTCAGAGATTATCTGACTATTAAGAAAATTTAGAGTTGGTTCATGTAACTCACAGCACAGATTTTGTTTTGTTAATAACTAGATTATTATCTCTTCAAGCATTTCATACAATTTCTTTTTTAATTCCAATTAAATTTAAATATCTTGATAATGAGAAATTTTATAAAAGATTATATCACTTTGAAAACATATATTGTTTTCATTTATTTTTAAATATTTCATGAAACAGATGGAAATGTCTTTTTAAAGATGAATAACTACAACAGGATTGTTATCTGAATTTTTTTAGAGATGTTTTAATTATTGTAATTCATTGTATTCTATTTCCTTCTTTTTATTGCTTGTTTGTATGCTTTTTTTGTGTTTTGACCATGTCTCCTTGAGCCTTTCTTGAGTGTCTTCTATGTTCTTGAGTGTTGTTTAATCTTTTCCAAGATTGAACAATATTCCAAACACACAACAGAGACCTAATGAAGGAAAGGAGGTAAACAGCTGAAATTTTATGGAAAATAAGATGTAAAAAAAAAATGAAGACTTTAGTCAATGTCAACAGCATACAAAAATTAGCCGGTCTGTTTTTCAAAATACTGCAGCCAGTTCACTTAATGTTCAAATGCTGCAGCAAATATTGCCTCGATTTTCATGAAATTTTTAATGAAAAATCTGTTTTTTCCTTCTTTGAACTGTAAATCTAATAACTTTCATTAAATAACCATCTTTATTCACGTGTAATTATTGGATTATAAATTTTATATGGTTTTCCTTTCCTATAATTATATTTAAAAATCTAAATCATCATATCTCTGAATCACATTTTATTAAAATCTCTTGTAAAAAAGAAAAATGTTTACAGTTCTCATTTTTGTCCGCATATGATATGAGACTAAGTATACCATGCAGCATATCTTCATGTAGACATGTGTGGTTTTACAATTTGAAATTTCTTTAGAATTATTTCTGAATGATTTCCTTTGAATCATTTTTGAATGATTCATAAAACCAAACTTTAAATATCACCTTCATCACCAAATGCTGCCATTTTTACATTTAACTTTTTTTCTTCGTTAATTTCAGGTTCACCACAAGAAAGCATTTTTATTTTACTACCTAAATGTTGTAATCCCATTTGCATAAAATGTCAGAAAATAATTTTCTATATATAAATTGCAATCATAATTGCTGTTTAATGTATAAAAAATATGCAAAATCTTGTAATTCAACCATTTACACAATTTACAGTTTTGTGGTCAATAAATTGATATAGTTTGTTATGACTTCTAAAGTACTAGTAAATTTTAAAGAATATTAGTATTATAAAATTTAAGAAATATCTGATAATATCATCATTGTCATTAATATATTAAAACTGTTATTATCCAGTGAGGGAAGTGGAATTGGCAAACCAAGTTCAAATCCCAGCCAAGTCTGCTACTTTTACTTTTGCACTATGTATCTTTTCCCTCCAGCTATAGGTTAAATAGCAGGGCAGATTTAAAATTTTTCCCATTATGTGTCTCAGAACTGTCAACTATCTCTCTGGGATTCAAAGTATCAATGTCCTTTTTGTTTTCATTTTCCTTAAAATTCCTTGTTGCTCAAATAAAATTCCCTGGCATTATCAGTTTTTCCCTCAAGTCTTTCTGTGAGGGAATTGTCCAGCATTCACTGCCTGAGAGTAGGATTTATTGTAGAAGTTCAACATAATTTTCTTTGTTTTTAATTAAAATTTCCTGTTTCTTAAAACTTTTTTTAGCTTTTTGAAGAACCTTTCTTTACTATCCATAAATTACAGTGTATTCTTGATAGTGGAGTGGTTTTATATTGCTTTCTCTACAGTTTGGAATTCAGATTTTTCCTTTTTTTATATACTATTTACTGTCCAAAGCTAGAGAGACCAGTCTAATCTGCAATTTAACCCATAGTTGGAGGGGAAAAAGACAGTCATACCTTTCCTAAGAGCAACTGGAAACACTTCTACTATCCTTCCCAAGAAGGCATGGTAATTCACAGAAAATGAAAATAACAATCACCTACATATGCAAGGGACAAAACATTTCTGTTTTCCCACTACAATCATCCTGATTAAGATTACAACTGCATCCTATCATAAATACTAAAATTCTTTTTGTTTGCAATAGCATCATCAGATTTACTATGGCCATTATTAGTACAAAAGTTGTTAACTGACTTATATGATAGTGTATAAATAATGCGCTTAATCATTATCACTTTCATAGACCGACAAGAAATATAAGAAGTTATTTGTTATTGCTTTAAAAAGTCATTATTGAACAAATGGATAACCATGTGTACCTCTTGCCTTTTCTTTCAACAAATGTAAGAAACAAAGGACAAGACTCAGCAGAGATAAATGGTAATGGACATTGTGCAGTGATAATGAGATTTATCCATTTCCACAGAGTTAGAGAGAAAAAAAATGTTATCAACAGCCATGACCAGTATCCTATCTTGGTGATTTCATTTTGCAACTGGTTACAAGGTTTGCCCAATTTCACAAAACCATTCACAGCTATTAGTGCAAGTAGAATGATGAAATTTACTCTTGCAGCGATTAGATCGCTTTTCATTCCTCGTACCATTGCAAACACTTGTTATTGGCATCAATATCCATTTTTGTTGCAACTATTTTCCTCACAAGAGAGATGTTCTGAATGCCACTGCATTTTCTGGTCTGGTTCATGTTAGCATGTTTTACTTAAAATGATGCTGTTTTGACACTGTAACTGTGTTGTGAACTAGCATTTCAAGGGAACAATTTAAAAAGAAAAAAGGGTTTCATGTCTGAAGACAGAAATTTTATTTTATAGATTTGTGTTTGCCATCAAATTAGGAAAGAGGAGGAAAAACATTTTTTGAAAGAGGGGAAAAAGAGAAGATGAAAATCTAAAGGTTGGGAAGGACATAAAAAAGAAAGAAGAAATGGAAAAGAAAGTGAAATGAAGGCATTGAAATGAAAGAGAAAAAGTGAAGGAAAGAAAAACAAAATAATGTCAAACATAACAAAGGTTTGTGAATGGTTTGGAAGAATAAGTGAAAATTAGGTATTGGATGAGAAAAATGAGAGAAAAGAGTTATGGGAAATGAAAAGAAAGACAGTGTAAGCAAATAAAAGAAAGTGGAGAGAGAAGTGATGAAGAAAAAGATTGCAGAAACAATGAGAAGGCATGAAAAAAACAATGTTAAAGTTGAATGTTTCAAGAATAGAGGGATATTAAGAAGATATAATTATAATGTAAGAATGAATGAATGAAATGAAAGAAAATGGGAACAGAATAAAAGAAGAATGTCCAGAAAAAGAAAATGAGAAGAATAAATAAAAAAAAGATCAAAGCCAGAGAAAGGAAAAGGTGAATAAGAAAAGATGGAGAGATGGAATAAAAGAATAAGGAGTGGAAAAGGCAAGGAAATATTACATGAATAGGAAAATATCAAAGAAACAAAAGTAAATTAAGCAAATCTAATAAAACTCTAAAATAAACTAAAAACGGGAGAGGAAATAGAAGGGAGATAACTTCAGAAACAGATGACAAAGTCCTTCATAAAAATAAGCAAAAATACTATATTCTGCTCCATGGCATTTTCAGGGAGATTATTTAGGGAATACATGAAACTACTCATCAGGAAAATTGGTTTCTCTTCTATTGTTTCTCAAAGAAAATTACTAATAAGAAATTCACATTATTTCTTTTTTTTATTTTCAGATTTAAAGTAGAATTTTGAAAACAAGTAAAAGATAAAACTAAATACCATCAAGGTAAGTATTTTTATCTATTTGATATTGTTATGGAGAAGGGACATTGAACTAACATATATATTAGTAAAAATAACTTAGATTGTTTTTACTGACTTTTTAGGGAGATTTAAAAAAAGGACAATTACTTCTTCAGCATAGAAAACAGATATGTGATCTGTTCAAAAAGTAGCTAGCTGTTTTGAATATTTCAAGAACTGGTTGCATGATTTTAGGATATCTTGGCAACCAATCATAGTGTATGAGTAAACACACACTCTCCCCTATGGTTACTCATGCAATGCTATTGATTAAGCTTCTTGCATTAGTCTATTCTTCATTTCATGCAGGGATTTTGGCAAGTTACGTATGTCATCTCTCTGCAGTCCTGATTTGGATGTCAATGATGTGTGGCTTTTCTCAAAAATAAAGTCGGTTAAAATGTAAATTTCAGACAATGAAAGATATTAAGGAGAACTCAACAAATCAGTTAATAATATATTGGGTTATTAATAATCCATGTTCATCACCTCAAGAGAGATACATTTTAATTTAACCTTAAATACCAAATTTTACTACTTCTTGATAAGTCTTGCCCTAACTACTATTGTTTCCCATATTTCTTGTCTAGCAGGACCACCAAGCCCATTCTTATTTTTACCTCTGCCCTATCTCACTTTAACCATTTGTTAAACACAGTTGTAAATTATCTAATCCTAGATTTCAAAGACCAACCTATCTATTCCCAACTACAGTTTCTGTATCATTAGTATAATTGGTACTGGAAATTAGTTTCCCCAAAATAAATTGATTAACTTCTAATAGCCAGCAACCTCATGTTTATTGCTACCAGACTTAAAGCCATATCAGTTTGAAATCATTTCCATGTGATCACTGAAGTTAAGCAACTTCAAGCCTGGCCAGTACCTAGATGGTTGACCACTTGGGAATACCATGTGCTGTGAGCTTGAATGTGCAAGTGGTATAATGGATAATGGCTTGAATTTGAAATCGGAAACCTGAGTTCCAATTTCTGTTGGGTCTGTTATGTTCACTTATGCAAAATACTCTTGGGAAAGAGTATTTGTGCATAAGTAAACATAACAAACCTCTCCTCCTCTCAGCTATAAGTTAATTAATAGGATGTATCAGTGAATCATTATTAGCTCCAAATTCTAATAATCTAAAAATATATTTTCTGGCTTTAAATAATCTGCAATATGTTGATAAACTGTAAAGAAAACAAATCAGTCTCTTGCTACCTAGCTGTATTTGAATCCAGAAAAACTTGTGATGCAAAGACTGTTTCTGTATCTAAAATTTTTCACCCAACCAGAGTTGTTCATAGCAATTCAAGTCCACTTCCTCCTCCTCCTCCTCCTCATGCGCTCATTCCAGAATTCAAATCTGTTGAAGTCCCAAAATATACCCACAGCCAACATGCGTGTATATTGCCAACAATGAATGATTTACCAACCAAAGAAATCTCCAGAAGTATCAATAAAATTATGCTAAGAGGTGGAACCTCTTCACCCTAATATTCTCAGTCATTGGCAATCAAATGTATCATTTGATTACAACAAGCATTCATGTGAATGAGTTGAAGATCACAGACTAATTTGGGTCTTTTAGATTCATATCTTGAGACTAGCTTATTCAAACTAAGGAATGAGTGACATAATCTGTAATTATTAACATTGTCAAATAAAAAATATTTAGAGTGCAACCACCAAACCCAGAAGATCATGGTGTCCTCAATACTTTTCTTTTAAATATTTAAAGAATCACCAAATACAAGAGAATTTTTCCTTCTTCAACTGTTTCAGTCTTTATAATGTTATTTCTTTCACATTCAGTACATTCAGGTGGACACAGAAGTTATCATCTCTCTTGTTATATTTACTATCAGAGAGAAGTTTCTAATGTGGAAATCATTTTTCTCTGTTGGTTTGTTTTTTATGGCTTATCAGCCTTTTGCAGATTATTTAAAGCTAGAAAATATTTATAGATTATAAGATTATTATTTTTTTTTAGAGATAGTAATCATGTCATTTGCTGATACAAGTTGTGCTAATTAAACCATAGCTAAAGAAGAGATGAATTCTTCCTATAAGAGAAGACATAAATTCATACATTTACCAAAGATATTTTTTAGTGACTATAGTAAAGCCCACTGCAATTGGAACTCAGCTCTCCAATTTCCAATTCTGAGCCATTATCCATTACACCAGCCACACAGTCAAGCCTACAGCACCTTGTATTCCCAAGTGGTTTCCCACCTAGGTATTGACCAAGCTCGACATTGTTTAACTTCAGGGATCCTACAAGAACCAGTACTTCAACATGATATAGCCGTAAGTCCCCCAAGCATCCCAAAAGAAATAAAGTCCATAATTATGCTACAACATATTTTGTACATCCATTATTAATTACCTGTGTAGTAAAACTCAGAATTGGGCAAAAATAACCTTGGGTAAGGTATGAACCCACCTCTTCTCCCTCCAGCTATGGGTTAGTTAGCAAGACTTGTATCAGTAAACCATTATTATATCACAGAAATTCTTAGTCTAAAAATGTTCTGGCTTTAAATAACCTGCAAAAGATTGATAAGCCATAAAAATCAATCGATACCATCAATCAATCAAAATTTGTGTGTGTGCATTTGAGAGAGAGAGAGAGAGAGAAATAGTATTGGAGTCAAGATTAATTCATAATTTATGCTATATTCAAAGAACAGGCAAAATGGTATTTCAGTGTTTCACCAAAAAAAAAAGCTGATTTGCAATTCTTGTATATCACATATTCCAAATGGCATAAGTAAAAGACACACCTTGTTTTTGTATAGCATTGGTTTGGAAGCTTGTAAATTTGCTTTTCATTTCTTTCAGGGTTTGATTTTCTCTCTCTCTCAAATGCAAACTGAAGATATTTTTTACTCTTATAATGTGATGATTAATGAGCAGAATGTTATAAGCAGAGTGTTGGCAATTAAAGAATATTTTACAAACAAGCACATCTCTTTTTATTTTTATACTGCTGAAGACATAAGTAAATATGCTTTCAAGAACACAGAAATTTATATTTATCTTCAACATTATATGCAGACTTTGATCATCAAGCAAGCCATATCCTAATTTCATAGTTTACTTTTGACTGGTATGTATGCCATTAAAAATACTATTCTTCTATTTTTCACCTGGCTCTGGGATTAAATTTGCCAACAGCAATAAAATTAAATTTAATTCAAAATGGAATCCTGTTTGGCACTCTAAACTTACATACATCAAAAATCATGAAAGCATCAAGGGATTCCAATAAAAAATTGTGACCTTGTTTCATGCTGTACATAAGATGAAAAGCTATACTTCTAAAGACTGCCTTAGTGTAAAACTTGGTCATAATTTGGGATCAGAGTTCCTCAGCACTTGGAGTTTATTGTTGTTACAGATCTATCTATAGATATTTTGTTTAGATAGGTGTTAGTCTTTTCTTTTTTTTTCCTGTCATGTCTTTTTCATGTTTTCTTTTTTGGTAGTCTTGGTATTATTTGGTTTGTTCTGATTTTATATATATATATATATATATATATATATATATATATATATATAGATATAGATATATATATCTCATAAAACTGTCATCATATACACTCTTTAGTTAATACACTTTTTCTTTTCTTTTCTTGCTGTTTTGATGAGAAGTAACAAGTGTTACCAAATCCATCAAGATTCTCCAACTGTCAGGGTGTTGATTAAATTTATTTGCCATTGCAGAATTACCTGCAGATAGAAAAGATCTATTTATAAATCTTGAGAGGTTTTTGATTATAAGTCTGTCCAAATGGATTTCAATCCCAGCTTGCTTTGCTGGATGTATGGAAGAATAAAATATAATTCTTCATACAAAATTGACACCATATTCATGAAAGTTTTGGGTGGAGGATTTCAATACAGAGAACATATAGATCAAACTAACATATCAGGTATATTGATATAAGTACTTACATATACAGGGTGTGATGGAGAAATACAGAACAACAGGTACAAGGACATGACACAAGAAGATGAATATAAATGAAAACCACTAAAATATTCAGATAAAAGAAAATAACTGGCAGGAATATGACAATGATTTCTCAGTTTATCAATTCTAAATTTGCATTCTTCCACTTTCTGCTATGCAGAGTATCTTGATGGACATTTTCTCCCACAAACATTCAGTATATTCCTTGTAGTGTTAAAAATCTAATGAAATGAATTCTTTAAGTCAATTTCTGCTCAGATTTGTCAAGACAGGTATAGGGTTTTAGTTGCATTATGGTGCTATTTTTCTCACAGATGGTGCCCACTTGACTCTACTGTGCACAAAACTAGAAATATAAGATGATAACAATTTACCCACTGCACTCTGTATGTATGTATGTATGTATGTATGTATGTATGTATGTATATGGAAATTGAGATAGGAGGAGATGGTTTTTATACAAACATATTTAGTGTAATTGAATGACAAAATGAGAAACTCATGTTGTATGTTGCATCTCTAACAGATTTCTTTGGACTAATAATGGTTTTTATCAATGGAAATAGTCTTATAGCTGGTGGGAGAAAGAAATACAACAAATGCCAGATACAATTTTACATCAAGAAATATAGAAGATACAGGGATGCTTAGTATTAAATATCTTTTTTTTTTTTTAATTTTGGCATCCAATGTAGCTTTTCATAACTTAGCTACTGTTGCTTTTTTTTTAATTTGTATTACTGTTGTTAATTATCTCACCATGTTAAAACAGTAGTTTTGTTTTTATGAAAATATCTTTTATAATAACTTGTTCATGCTTTTAACATTTTTATGGTGTAGGTTATTTTCATTTTTACATTTTTTTTCATGATTTTTAGCCAATCTATTCTTTATCCTTTTAAGTTTATGAATAGAGGACAAAGAAGCCCCACCTATGATGCAACTTAAACTCATAATTCCATGGGAACTTGACCAATTATTTACTAAGGTCTATACCATTTTGAAACTGGAAGCTATTGCAATCAAATAAAATTGTTTCACTTTCATTTCATTGTACACCATATTCTATACTTTATTCTTGGTTACCTACTAGTATTAGAACTAGTCATAGTAGTAGTATTAGCAGAAGTAGAACTAGTCCATCATAGTCTTAGCAGAACTAGCCCGTCATAGTACTAGTCTTAGCAGAACTAGCCCGTCATAGTTCTGGTCTTAGCAGAACTAGCCCGTCATAGTTTTAGTCTTAGCAGAACTAGCCCGTCATAGTTTTAGTCTTAGCAGAACTAGCCCGTCATAGTACTAGTCTGAGCAGAACTAGCCCGTCATAGTACTAGTCTGAGCAGAACCAGTATTAGTAATGCTTCAAGTATCATTTTAAATAGCTAAAATTAAATATTACACATAAATTTAGTAATATCATATGAAGGTTGAAGTAATTTTTTACTCAATGTCACCTCAAAACATCATAATCCCAAGGAATTTCTGGTGTGACCTTAAAGGTACCAATGCAGAATTAAGCTTCAAAAGATGTCAAAGGTTGCACCAACATAAACAAGAAAGTTAACCAAATTGAACTTAAGGCATACACACTCTCATGACAACTGGATAAAAGGAAGTTACATAAACACTTGATCAATGAAAGAAGGCAAATCCTTCACACCCTCACAAGATTAAGCATTTGAAGGAAGACCCAAAACCAAATCACATGCCTTTTATTTGGCCAATGTAAATGTGATGGAGTCTAGAAGTGAATAAATTATTTTACATCTGAAAAATTTAGTTATCAGATTTTACTAATATTACAAATATACTTATTCTGAAAATGTCATGTGTATGAAGAAAATGTGTACATTGATAAATGCATGAAATGTATATATAAATGCATCAACCAATAGTAATGTTATATATATATATATATATATATATATATATATATATATAAATTATTAGATATATCTTCTGTTTATACATAATTTTATAGAGATATAATTTATTTAAGCAAATGTTCTGTTTTTAATTAAACAGTATTAATTACATTTACCAGCCTGAATATTTGAGAAATTTCATAGAAGATATGCACTCTCTGACACAAATCAAACCTTTATGGGAACCGACATATAGCCTGTCATGCTATTAACCATTCAGCTACAGAGAAGCATTTGAGAAAATCATCAAAGGTGTGTGTATATAAACAATAATTCAGATTTTGTTCCCCAGGCCATTTTACCTGTATCCTTAGCAATGGATCATATGTACAAGTCCCATTTCAGGTCAGGTATGAATTTGAGGCCCAACAGTCTTTCAAGGCAGCAGAATGCTGATCCTGATGGGTTGGATCAGTGATGATGGTAGGTTACTAGCTTGGTCTTCAAGACATTGAATGTAATAAGACAGTTTTTAGCCCATTGAGTAGTTTGTGCAAGTTTGGAAGAGAGATCAGTCGCCAATCTCTGACCATGCATAGCAATATATAAAAATGCCCATTGTTTATCTTGGAGACTCCTGAGAGCTATATTTATTTATTTTTTTATTTTTTCAGATTCTCCAAAATGAATGCATCAGAATTCTAACATTTTTAAAAGATTTAACTTCTTCACTTTATTAAACCATTCATGTTCTATGATTTTTCAGTTTCTCCTCCATACATAAATTACTATTTCTGTTTCTCTATATGTTTTTATTATACTACTATTGATGATTGCTCTTTCATTTTTTGTTAATATTCCTTTCAAAAAATGTGAGAAGAATGTTAGATACTCAGCTGGTTTCCTATATATATATATATATATATATATATATATATATATATATATATATATATATCTCCTAAAGTTGAAAGAAACATTATTTTAAATTGCAAATATTTATTTTTCAATTTCCTTGTTAACACACTTTATTCAATGGTGAGTATTAATCACATAGCTAAAACATTATACAGTGAAAATCTCAGATCAATATTCAACTGATAACTGTTTCCTGCTACAGACATGTTCATCCAACCTTGTATATATATATATATATATATATATATATATATATATATATATATAACTCCAATATTCAATACTGTTTCTAGACAAATGATGTAATAATACTAGAAATAAATTCTATAGTTCTATCTTTGTCCTTTTATTTGTTATGTATGAAAATGTTATATTCATTCATTTCTGCTTGCAGTTATAACAATATTTATTTATTTATATCCATTTCTGTGTTCTCTCAAGAGAGAAGATATATTGGAGGAAACAGAAAACATGATTATGTAAAGAGACAGAAAAACACTTATATATGTTTGGTCTAATCCTATCTACCGTGGTACTGAATTGAATTTATAT